TATTGAAACTTTGATTAATTGAACTAAACTTGTAAAATCATCATATTCATCAAAGTTTTTCATCTAACACTTGAGCTATCATTTATTACTATTCATTGAAGTGTTAGCCTCTCTTAGTACTTAATTTGATTTGTTTGTATTATTTATCAAGAGAGAAATTTCATTGTAAAATCACTTTGATAAAGTGTGGGTCGTGTTGAAGTTCCTTAAAGATCAACATTGTATAAGGATTGGTGCTCCTTGTTGTAAGTCACCGTATGGGTCATATTGAGGTCCTCTAAAGCTCAATAGTATGGGTCGTGTTGAGATTCCGAAAAAGTCAATATTGTATAAAGATTGGTGCTCCTTATTTGTAAGTCATCGAAAGCGTTGTAAAGGGTTGGATTGCACCATTAGTCAATCAACATAGTGAAAAGGCATTGCTCGTGCGTGAGAGTTTGGTAACAGGGGACGTAAATTATTGCTTTGGATCAAACTTCCACAAATATATCGTTTGCATCATCTTTCCCTTTTACTTGTCGCTTGTATAATTGTGATTACTAATTGAATTAATCTATTTAGTCTTTACTTGCTTTAATTTAGATTAATTCTTCGAAAAAGTTTTAAAAACCAATTCACCCCACTCTTGGTTAGTTATTCTTGGGCTAACAAAAATCACTCAAATCCATTTTAGAAACAAATAGAAACAAGCTTCTCGGAATTGAAATTCCAAATTTTCTATAGTTATTCAAAAGGCTGGTTTCAAACAAGTGTGAAAAATCATTCATTGCAGATTTACTTAAAGGCTTCTCAATCAAGATTTGGAAAATTGAAATACTTCTCAGGGAATTAAAGTGGCTCGTTCTAAAGACATTTCTATCTCACAACGAAAGTATAATTTGGATGTTCTTGATGAAACGGATCTTCTTGGAGCTGCTTCAGTCACATTCCCTATGGAACAAAACCTAAAGCTTTCACCATTAGATGGTGAATTATTCAAAAATCCTGATCAACATAGAAGATTCATTGGTAATTTATCTTTACAATCAGAAGTCCTGTTATCATTTAATCAGTGTATCTTCTTAGTCAGTTTATGCAACAACCACACAAGCCACATCTTGATGCAGCAATTCAAGCTTTGCGCTATATATTCACGGTGAAAACTTAGAAAAGGTTATGAATTTAACTGGATATTGAGGAAATCAGTCTCCTGTTATGTTTTTCTTAGCAATTCTCTAATCTCTTGGATGACAAAGAAACAACACACTGTTTTTCGCTCCCCAACAGAAGCAGAATATAGGGTGATGGCCTCCTGTATGTCTTGCAGGATCTACATGTCAATTTTTTGAGCCCTGCTAAATTATACTATGATAATCCAGTAACATTTCGTATTTTGCAGCAAATCCAGTCTTCCATGAACGAACAAAACATTCTGAGATGGACTGTCATGGGGAAAAAATTCAATCAGGTAATATAGCAACATCCTTCACTTCATCGCATGCTCAAATTGCAGTTATTTTTATTAGGCCCCGTTTGACACCCATTATTTTGAAGAATGAGTTTTTGAATAGTGATTGATGTAAAGAATGTGTGGTTAAAAAGTAAGAAGAATTTTTGGGTTTATGTGTAATATTATTTTATTTGA